GGGGTCCGAAATCCCCCGACACACACACACACACACACACTCAAAGGGGGTCCGAAATCCCCCGACAGGTGAGTGCGCTGGGGGGGCCCGGCCCCCAACCGGGTACCCTGCCCATCCAGGCCGCCCGGGACCTCCCCCGGGCCCCTGCCAGTCACCCGGGCGGCCCGGATCCGCACTCAGATGTCCCCTAGAAAGCGCTCAATCATTGTCCCTGTCAACCTGTTTCTGTCCCCTTACAATGTCCTGCTCGTGATCCATTTTATCAGTCCTTCCTCCATTGGTACACCCCGTTACCACCTTAAACCCTAAACCCTTAGACAGCATGCCCCTTCTCCCCAATCGTTTGGGTCGAACTTGCTCCCGTACTCCTGTTTCTTGGACTAGGTCTCCTTGCACGTTGATCACCAAAACGAAAGTGGGAGTTGACGAGACTTCATTTATTGGCAGTCCTTCGCTATAGGATCCTGCTCTGAGGCCCCCATTAATATTCATGCAGGCCGTATTCTTTTTAGGCCTATGCTGCGTTTCCACTCCTGTGTTGTCACCTGCTGTTCCATCTCCCGAGGCCATTATAAGAACCTGTCCTGGGCTGTAGTCCTGACTTCCTCTTCCTCGTATTTTCTCACCCTATCATCTCTCTTCAGTCCCTACCGTCTGAGCTCCTGTGGAACTGCCCTCCTCCGTAGAGTCTCAAGATGTGATTGTGCTGTCTGGCGTTGTCTGTTGTTGAGGACCCTTTCCCGGGACTGAATTATGCCACTCTTTCCAGCAAATGCGGTCCTCTCGTATCTCAGCAATCTTGCCATCTATCAACCAGCTCCTGTGGAAAATCAGTCTTTCCTTCTTTCGCTGTTCTTCGTCCTCTGTCCAGGCTTGTCTGACTTTCCGCCATCTGCAAAGAATCTCAGCTTGAATCATTGTTCTGGTTTCTATCCACACCTTCTCCCGTGGATTGGACCGCCCTTCAATTGATCTGCTGCATCTCTCTTTCCATATGATCCATAGGGTCACTTTCCTGATGAGTTCGAACCAAGTCCTCTCTGCCTTTCGTGCCATATCAGGGATGTTAGTCAAGAGGAGCAGTTGGGTGGGTTGTTCAGGGAAGGGTGATGAG